TTTCCCAACCCCCTGTCTTGATCTGCTGATCAGGGCACAGGGCTGGGAAGCAGCAGCTGCAGGAAGGCACATTTTCCCAGCCCCATGCCCTGCTCCACAGATCAGACATGGGATTGGGAGGCAGAGCCTGACTCTGGTGCCCCCTGCCACCAGCCAGGGAAGCCTGAAACTCCCCCTGGATCCTATAGGGGGCACACCAGGGCTAGAGTAGCCCTAAACTGAACTGCTCCTGTTGGGAGCAAATTTGCTTCCGAAAGGAGCACATGTAGGTACCCTGTTGGGGAAAGCTTACTGTGCAGCAAGCTTTCTGGGCATTAATTGCATGTGTAGATACATCCAGCCTGTTGTTGTAGATGCTGAGTGATTTAAGGTCCTTCACAGATGTACAACTGAGCTCATTACCTCTACATTTGTCCCAGCTCATGAAGAGAAAGGATGGATATTGAGTACCAAAACTGGATCCCTTTGCTTTAACGGGAGCACACTGAGCTTTAACTTTATTTTCAGCACAAAAATTAACCTTGTGTACTTTGGTAGAAGGTAGGGTACATTTTCAGGGTAGATCAAATATTTAGTTAGTCTTCAAAGTGCAAATCTATCCCACCTTCTGAGTAACATGGCTAACTCCTCTCTCTCTGATTGTGTAATATACTTTTTCAGTGTTTATGGAAGGAATTTCAGAAATAAATGTGTATGTACTTTTCTTTCAGATTATTAGGAAAGCTCTTACAGAGGAAAAACAAGTGTCTACAAAAACATCTGCAGCAGATCTTGTTACTGAAACTGATCAGTTTGTGGAAAAGTTAATTATTTCTGCTCTGAAAGAGAAGTTTCCCTCCCACAGGTAAGTACTGCTAAAAAGAGAACAGCCTATGACCCTATTCCATATAAAACCCCTCTATGAGGTTGGCCTTAGAGCAAAAACAAAGGAGTCAGCCTCTATGAAACAGATAATATTTGCAAACATGAATTCATCTACTTATAGCCTAATTTAATTCTAGTGCCAGTTATCAATTTGTTACTGTCTCTTTTGTTAAAAAATATTTAGATTTAATAATTAAAAAATAAGCACTAGATTGGACATTTTTACTAGCTTCCTTTCTTTAAAAATCACTGTTCCAGATTCATTTTCATGTTGCCAGTTAGAAATGGTTCACTGTATTTCTCATCAGCCGACCAGTATCATTACTTTAGTTTAGCTTAAGTTGTCATGCGAGGTGCTTAAAGGTTATTCTGCAACTTTTATGGATTTATTTGAATAGTAATAAAATATAAAACCCTTTTGTTTCCCCATAATTATGAACTTTTGTTCGTTCATAGAGCTGCATCTTTTGTCTGGTGTAACATAATACTAAGATTATTTAAACAAATGGCTTTAGAATCAAGTTGAATTTAATGGTATCTATTGTCCCAATTCTGTAATTGCTTTCATGAATAATTTTGTTTTATTCACATACAAAAAAGCTGGCAGGATCAGGATTATGATGCTAAATGTTTATTTTGTTTAATATCTGAACCTTGAGAGTTCCAAAGTCAATCAGATCCATGGGTGGCCATCATCCTCACACCTCAGACTCCTAGCCTATATAGAATAAAAAGTGAAAAAAATTACTCTACAGTACTAATGTCACATTGAAAGTAATCCTTTGTAGTAGAGACCATGACCCACCACATTATAAAATTTGAAGTGATTTGAGATAAACTTTATGAAATGTGGCCAAGTTCAGCTTGATGCACACAAAATATAAACGGCGCCCTCAATTTCCATGTTTGAGTTTAAATGCTTAAATCAAAATTCAGCCTTCTACAGAAGGCCAGTACAAAGCCTATACATTGCTTAAATCTTTGAAAAGCCTGTACATATAACTTAAGGAGATCTTAAGTGGGTCATAATGCTGGCCTTAAGCATAAAGGTAAATTTCACTATGATAGAATTTCAGTGAAAACTTGGTTGAAAGATTTGACTAGCATGCAGTATATTTGAAAGTACTGATCCTGTTTATTATGCTGCAGCAAAGTACATATTTAGAGGGGAACTGAGTAGGAAAAAATAATTGATTAAATGTATCTTTCTAAATATATGGCATATGTGGTCAACAACAGAAGCAGTAATAAAGGTACATGTATTACAATAGACTGCAATTCTAAAGACAGTGATTAATTTTATTTGTGTAATAATCTCTCTAAAGAGTACTATAGGCTATGGTTTTATTCTTTCTGTAATAGATGAGGGCATTTTTACATGTGTTTCTGACACAGCGCCAGGCACTTTAAATTAGTGAGTCGTGCTAATTAAAAGCACCTGCACATCATGTGTATGAGCATGGCAGCACAACCCCATGCTGAGAAAATGGCAGCAGGGTGTTTTGAACTAAAGTACATTGAACATGTTTTAGTTCAAAGCACACTGCTTCCATTTTCTCAGTGCAGAGGCACGCTGCGCCACTGGTACACATGAAGTGTGAAGCTGCCAGAGCGCATCAGTTTACGTGCTCCAGCAGACTTGATTACTCAGTCTGCTCCAACGCACTGGACTTCCAGCATGTTGGAGCAGGCTCCTTGCATGTGTGTAAGTGCCCTCAGTTTTCCACAATGCTCTGACCAAGGAAGTGTAACATACAAGGTTCACATAATATGAAAATAATCCAGGTATTAAAAGTACTCAGGCTATTTAGTACAGGAGTAGCAGTTTTAAGCCTAACATAGACCCAGAAATGGAAGTTTCGAGCATATGAGCTTATTAACCCTGTACAGTCAACTTCAGCTTTGAATCAGTCCACATTTTTCCTAGCTTCTGACTGAATAACCTACTATTTCCTTAAGATAATTCACTTTTTGTTGTTTGGTAAGATTTTAGCAAGTTTGTTTTTGACCAGATGCATATTTAAGCATGCATTTATATATATATAATGCATATATGCATATATATATATGCATGTGTGTGTGTGTATGTGTATATATATATGTGTGTGTATATATATATAGGGATGCATATACAGACTATATGCAACAAACCAGATGCATATTTAAGCCTGCATTTTATATATAGGTTGGGGAAACAGAGCAGACAGCCAATAAGTGCTCTTCTGTGCACTCAGTTGTCCTTGGGAATTTCCTGAGATCAGAGAATGAGAGTCATGCAGGGATCTCTGCTCTATTGTGGCCTGGTTTCTTTGCAATCTATGGTAGTTGTGATGTAGCAGAATAATGCATTCTGAAATATCTTCAGTGAACCAGCTAGTGCCAAGAGGATTTTACAAAAGTGAAATAAGTACTGGAAAAGTTTGTTGAAACCTTATTTCTGTGCAGGTTGTCCTTCTTTGCTCTCCTGATTGGTTGGTGGTAGTGTACTGGTTTGATCAGTTTTCATGTTTGCTTTACTGATTATTTGAGAATAAAGGCAACCTTTAAGTGTAAATGTCAGTACTCTGATGCACTGAAATTAGACTTTTCAAAATGTCAGAATTTTACATTTCTTTTCTAATGAATCTTTGCATAGGAAAACATGGTGGAGCAGCTTGGACTTTTTGCAGAATGAGACAGATAGTTCTCTACTAACCACATTACTGTTACCACAAAGCCCTTTTTGTATAGGACAGCATATCAGTCTAAGATATAAATAAATAAAGCATCATCATTTCAATGTGCTGTGGGCTTGAAATGTGCCAGTGTCGCTGAAATCAATGGTATTGTTGCTATGGATTTCACTGGGTATAGGAAGAGGCCACAGGGGCCTGACTTTGTCTTTTATGTCCTGTGTAAAAGCTTATATGAGCTCTTGGTTTAGTCCTCTGTGTGCAGGCCGGGAGCGATCCACGGCCCTTTTGCGCATGCGGGCTGTGGCCAGCAGCCCGGGCACGCGGGGTCGGAGAGAACGGGCGACACGCTAGAATTAGGCACGGACGCATAATGGTTGATTTAAAGATTGTTTACTTACACCGAAGATGGTCGCAGTGTAGGCTGGAAAATTTGCTTGAGTTGCGGTTACAGATAGAAAAGATGAGAGGCGGACTAGAGTTCCTTCCCGTGAACATTCTTCTAGCCCATCCGGTTGGAGGCTCTAAACCGCGAGCCTGTTGCGCCAACTGAAGAAAGTACTCGAACCAAAGAGCTCTGAATAGACTCACACGAAGTTTGCTAGGCTCCGTGGAACTTGTGCACAGGGATTCGAAGTGAAGAGCTCTGAATAGACTCACATGAAGTTTGCTAGGCTCCGTGGATCTTTTTGTGCACAGGAAAGAGGGATACGTCGAGGATTGCGCTCGGTGACAGGGAGAGGCTAG